GTCTGCAGGGACACGGCCGTGGGGAGGGGCGACCAGTCAGAGCCCCCCAACTGCCCTCCAGAAGACGGGGCCTGGGGGCCACAGGGCTGCTGCCCCCCCCCAGCTGCATGCCCCCCACTCTCCCTCCACCCCCGACTTCGACTCTGTGCTGCCGTTTACAAGAGAGGAAACCAAAGCCTAAGAGGTGACTTTGCCCGAGGACAAGTGGCCAGAGTGGGGTGTGCCTGCCTGCACGCGGCTCCCCCGGCCTGGCTGATGAGAACACGGCGGCCTGGAGGGGAGGCACTGCTGCCCCCAGCCCACAGACGGGCAGGGCTAGCAGCTCGCACGCCGACGGCAGTGTCCCCAAGTGCCCACCGTGCCCCACCCGCTGGCTCCAAGGGGCTACCAGCCCACTCTGCAGAGGGGGCACAGACCCAGGAAGGGGCCGTGGGCCCGAAGGCCACACAAACCTGCCCCTGCCGCTTCCTTCCAGGGTCTTGGGCCCCCCACCTGCAGGACAGGTGGGTGTGGTGGCCAGGGCGTCTGAGGAGAGGCCCTGTGGCCAGGTAGGCCCGAGAGGGCCTGGCTGTAGCAGCCACGGCCACCAGGCCCTGGCACCTGTGCACTGTCAGGGCCACACCTGCCCCCAGGTACCTTCGACTGCGACAGTCTGGGTTGCACAGGACAGAGGCCCGTCCTGCTCTGAGGCCGATAGGACCCCTCCTGTCCAGGCCAGCCGCACCCCCACCCTGCGGCCTCCACCACGCCACTCAGAGGTGGTCACCTGGGTGTGCACACACCTCCCTGCCTGCAAAACTCCTACTCACCCTCCAAAGCCCCACCCACGGTTTCTCTCCCTTCCTGCCTCAGGGAGCCACAGTGAGGAGTGTGTGTCTGGCCTGCCCTCCCACCGGCCCCCCAGAGGAGGGTCCTCTGAAGGCAGGGACAGGGTCCCTTTGGGGACCCTGAAGTCACCTAGCTCAGGGCCAGGCACAAACAAGGTGGCAGAGCCCTGTGGAATGAATCTATGAACCAGGATTCCGCCTCCAAGAAGCCCCTTGCCCGGCCCCATCGGCCCCCGGAGCTGTCGCGGCCCCAGGCCTGAGCCCTGGGCTCTGGGGCTGTGGGGGAGGCGGGCGCTGGGCCGCACAGCTGCCAGGCTGGGAACAGAGCGGCTATTCAGCCCCAGCCCACGTGCCCGGCCCCAGGGGCCTGCTCGCTCCACCCCAGGCTGGGCAGCGGGGAGGACGCCGCTTGGCCCTTCCGGGGAGCAGACCCAGGCTGAGCTGGCCTGACCCACGTTCGAGTCCCGCCTGGCCACCTGCAAGCCAGGGGTGGTCCGCGGCCGTGGCTGCCTCCTCTGAGCCCCGGTTTCCTCATCAGTAAAGTGGGAAGGGCCATGCGCCACCTCCCAGGAGAGGGACACGCGCCTGGGGAGGGGGTCGTCTGGGAAACAAATCCACGTCCCCCCCGCCAAGCCCAGCCAAGCCTGAGGACTCGGCCTGCCGCCCTGGCAGCGCCTGCCCCTCTGTAAGGGGGCGAGTTTGCACCCCGGCCGGAGGCTCAGCGACAGGTGGGCGTGGCTGGCGCCGGGCGGGAGCCGCCTCAGGTGCCGCGGACAACAGAGCTCAGTTTCTGGAAACTTAAGACTTGAGCAAAGAGCAAAGTTTCCCTTTTGGGCAGAAAAGACTCATCCTCCTTGTCCCTCTGTGGCCTGGGCGGGGCCTGTAGTGTAGGCCAGGGGCAGCCTGGCCACAACTGCACCCCTGGAAGGGTGGGTGCAGGACGGAACTTTTGGGGAGACGTCTGTCCTTTTCCCCTTTCTGTGCAGTCACGACCAAGGCTGCGCTTCCGGCGGCAGGACACCCTCGGGAAGCAGCTCCCTGGATCCCAGCACCTCACAGCTGGGCTCTTGGGCCCCATTTTACGTGGGAGCTCAAGGTCACACTTGCCCAAGCCACACAGGAACAATGGGGGACCTGAGCCACCTGCTGCTGCCCCAGCTACACTCTGCCCCTGCAGCGAAGGCTCTGGTAAGTTCTGCAAGGAAGAAACTGCCGTTTTTCACGGCCTGAGGTTTCCAAAGCTCCGGGACCAGCCATGTGCCCGCTGCTGTGCCCACTCGACGCAGAAACAGGTCGGGACCTCTGGGGGCTCGGAGGACACGGATCAGCGTGGCCTCCCACAGGAGGGCCCGAGGCGCGGGCGAGCCCAGGGCAGGCCCAGAGACTCACCCGTCGATGATGAGCTGGTCGTAGGGCGCCGGCTTGTCGCACACCGGGCACATCCAGGTGGGCTTCTTCTCGTTCATCTGCAGGTAGAAGACGGCGTCGAAGCACTGCAGGTGGGCGCAGGTCTCTGCCCGGCACGGCACGGACAGCCGCATCTTCACCAGCTGCGGGAGGGCGGGCAGCGTGAGCTGCAGTCCCACACCCCGGCCCCGCCACGCTCTCCCATGTGGGCCTGCCATTTGCTCATGGCCTCGGGGATGCTGAGGGACCAAAACCGAGACCCGGCAGCCCAGGAAGGGCTGGCAGGAGGGGTGGCCGGAGGTGAGGGCCGCACGACTCACCGGGCAGATGAGGGAGACGCGCACGCCGGTGGTGGCGATCTCACTGTCGGGGTCAAGGCGCAGCTTCTCTTTGACTGCAGGGAGGGGACAGAGGATGCCGTCAGGGGAGGGGCAGGGCAGCCTGGCCGGGGGTACCCCTGACACCCACCTCCCCGACGATGAGACCCCAGTTTTACTGCACAGCTCGGGCCTCCAGGGACCCCTGCGAGGAAAGCCAGGCACTGGCCACCGTCATTGCTGACGGCGGCCCAGGTGCCACATAGACCAACTGACACCCCAAAAAGCAGGCAGCCGACGGGGTCTTCCCCACCTGCTGGGGCTTTTTACGACCCACAGGAAGATCCAGGCAACAGCAGCCACCCACAGGGTCACTCGCTGTGACTGTTAATTCTGCCACCGAAACACCACCACCAAGGACGCAGCCGGGAGCGAGGCAGGGACGCCCTCTCCGAGACAGGCCCGTAGCCTCCCGATCGCAAAAGAGGGCCAAGAAGTGTCCCCTGCCCAGCCACTGCCGCCAGGAGCGGCTCGAGTCTTACTTTCTGCCACAAAGCTGTGCGGGAAGGTCCCTCTTGCCCACTAGGAGAGCCCACGGGCCCTGGGCAGCCCTGGGTGCTGAGTGGCCTGTCTGGTTTCCCTGGCGCTTTTCTGCACGTTCTGCTTCGAAGACTTGGGGACACCGAGATAAGCCCAGCCACGGCGGCCTAACCCCAACCGGGAGGAGACCCCAGCCCTGGACCCCACAGGGCAGGGACCACTCTGGCCCGGGGCCTGCGCGGTCTCTCCCTTCATGCCCCAGACTGTTGGGACCTTGTCCCTCACTCCAGGAAGTGAGGGCAACTGTGCCAGCTTGTCCCCACCCCAGCCTGGCTGTCCTGCTGCTCTCTCTGCCTGGAACTCCCCCCTCCCCGCCCCTTACCTGCCTGGAAAACCACTTTTGTCTGCAAGCTCGGGGGCCACTTCCTCCTTCCTGACCCCCTACCCTGGGCCCCCACAGGCCGGGTCTGACCCGCAGCCCGCATGAGGACCTGGGGGCTCCTCGGTGGCTAATCCTCCGGCGGGGACGCCCGCATGAGCCAAGGCTATGTCAGTCACTCACACCTCAGTATGAATTTGCACCCCTTGGTTCCTGCTCTGGCTAATGAGAGCCTTGAACCCTCAAAAGGACCTTGGGCGGCGAGGAGGGGATGCAGGCGCACATGGTTTTTTTCTCTGTTGAGACAGGGTCTCACTCTGTGGCCCAGGCTGGAGTGCAGTGAGGTCACCACAGCTCACTGCAGCCTCCAACTCCTAGGCTCAGGCGATCCTCCTGCCTCGGCCTCCCCAGCAGAGCGTGCCAAGCCTGCGTCTGGTTTTCGAGTGAGACCTCCCTCCCCCACGTACGGAAAGACCATGTGCACAGCAGGAAGGGTGCAAACACGACAGAGGACGGGACTTCCGAACTGCAAGTCAACTAGAGAGAAAGCCAGAGACCAAGATGCCAAGCCTGGGGCCAGCTTCAGAGGAAACCTGACACTTCAGTCCCCGGAGGGGCCCCCATGGAGAGGCAGGTGGGGGTGAAGCGGCTGCTGTCCCCACTGGCAGAGGTGGGTGGGGGTCGAGGGCCAGTGGGGCCTCGGGGTCACAGGGCTCTGAGGCTGCCACTCTGCACCAGTGTCCCCAGTCAGATGGACACATCGCCAGGCCCTACCACCCTGGGTGACCCACATCACCCCTCCTGTCCTCCTCCGTAGCGGGTACTGATGGCTGGAGTGGGGGGCTTCAATACGACGGGGCTCAGAGCGCCGTGGAAATGCCAGCTTCACTCCATGCTTCCGGATGTCAGGGGCAGGGGCCCAGCCTGGCGCCAGGAGGGTGAGCAAGGCCCACCTGTCGCAGTCTGCAGGGGGCTGGGTTAGCTCCGGGCCCACGTGAGAACAGCCCAGGAACCACCCTCCCCAGCCCACCTGCCCATCCTAAACCCCAGGCAGGGCCCTGCCCCTGCCCGCTCCGTGGGACAGACAGAGGCCACCAAGGCCCGGACCCCAGCCCGGTGGGACCCAGAGAGGGGCCTGGATGGCCCTGAGATGGCTCAGGTCTGTTCTCATGAAGAGAGTGGCCACCAGAGAGGGGCAGAAACTTGCCCGAGGCAACACAGCGGCCAAGAGGGACACACCAGTCCCTGGCTGTGCCCTGGGCAGCCCTCAGGGTGGGGGCACAGGAACAGACAGGGAAGTTCAGCTGCCAGTCTTAGGGTTTTATTTTTAAAATGCCCTGTCACTTTAAAAAAAATGCTTGGTTGCTATGAGTCCAAACAAGATGAACTTGGCCTCAGTATCCACGTTCCGACTTTTGCAGCCCGTCTGCCGCCCGCACCCCTCGCTCCACCGCATGGCAACCAGCAGCGTCTGCTCAGATCCTGGCTTGCCTCGGTCTCCCCAGCCCTTCCCGGGAAATGCGCTGCCCTCCGGAGGAGGCCTCACTCCTCGGTGGCTCGGACCCCTGCAGGCTGTAGCTGGGGGCGCTCCCAGGCTGGCCTGGGCTCAACCCTGCCTGGGGGCCTCTGCCCGCGGCTCCCCCTCCTCCTCTAACATCCTCCAGAGACCTCCCTGCCACGCTGCTGCCAGACCCCCAGGGCGACAGGCTGTCCCAGGGCCCCAGAGCTAGACCCTGGTGGCCCAGGTCCCCACAGGGCCCCCGACAGACCAGAAGCCCCGAGGGCTGGGCCTGCACCTGCACCTCACACCCAGTGAACGGAGGGTCCCCAGGGACAGAATTGGGACTGCCCCGATAGCCGAGGGTGGCAGCCAGCTGTGGGGCAGGTGCCCTGACCCAGCTGTCCCCCCAGGACCCCCTGCTCACCTAGAGCCTTGCACAGCTCCGGGTGCTTCACCCCGATGGTCTTCAACCTCTGCAGCAGCTCTGACGAGGTCAGCTGCCGCACCAGGTACAGGGCCACCGAGTAGCTCTGGGGACAGAGGGCTGGAGGTCAGGGCCGGGCCGGGCCCGGGTGGGACAGGGCCGGGTGGCGGGGGCGCACTCACCTTGCCGTAGTTCCCCCAGGTGACGGTGATGCGGTTGGTGGCGGAGGACAGGTACATGAGGTGGGTGAGGTTGATGGGGCGGCAGGGCCTCTTGGGCTCCACTCCAGGTTTGTTCGAGGGGTAGTAGCCCTGCAAGCAGACAGGCCGCAGTGTCCCATGGCCCCGCCCCCACGGGACCCTGCCCCCACAGTGGATCCGGGGGCGGCCGCGGCTCACCGGGACCGAGCAGTAGCTGTGGTTGACCTTCACGGCGATGTTGGGTGGGTACTGGTCCTCTTGGGGACAGCTGGTGTCTGAGTAACAGATTCTGCAACAACAAGGGGCCGGGGGGCCTCAGGCAGAGGAGGGGTGCAGTGCTTCCGGGAGGACTCTTGGGGGAGGTGGACAGCAGTGACGGGGACAGTGGAGAAGGTGGTGCGTGGCTGCACCGTACGTGGGGCACACAGGGCCCCGGTGTCTGCCTGAGTGGCTGGGGGGATGGCGGTGTGTCCCTGGCAAGGACAGATGGCAGCAAGTGGGAGCCAGGCTCTGCTTCTGGCTGGAAACTCTGAGGGGCCTGGGCCACGATGCATCCAGGACAGGACGTGGAAGGGCCACACCACCCAGCTTGGAGAGAGGGGCAGGGGTCCTGAGGGCCCACTGTGGGGTCGTGGGCACACCTGGGCCTACCTTAGGACGACCTGCACGGCTTTGACCCCGGGCTGCAGTTCTCTGTCGAGCAAACCAACAGGGAGGAAAGGACAGGTCAGCGGGGGTGTGGGGGGCAGCATAGCACACCCGCCATCAGGCCAGCGGGGAGGGGACCTGGCCTGGGCAGGGCTGCTCCCACTGGAGCTGGGACTCTGAGGCCCAGGCCCCTTTCGTGCAGGCTGGGCGGACTCGGGTGTCTATAGGGCCACCGCAAGGGGGCCGCGGCTCCCTGGGAGCGCGGGAGTCAGGCGCGAAGCCCCGGGAACGGGGGCGGGCGGCAAGGCTGGCTGCTGCCCGGGTGAAGGAAGTCACGGAGGTGCAAACCAGCATCACCCAGCCAAGGCACAACAGCAGGACAACACCCAAGGAAAGACCTCAACAAGAAATCGCCCAAGAGAAGTGAGAAGTCACGTCTACCTGAAGACTCGCACACGAGTGCTCACAGCAGCACGACCCGCGACAGTCACGATGTGGAAACCACCCAGTGTCCACCCACAGATGGATGGACAAGCCCAACACGGCCCATCCACACACTGGACTATCACTCGGCCACAGAAAGGGATGAGGCTCTGACACAGGCCACAGCGTGGAGGGACCTTGAGGACATCGTGCTCAGTGAGAGACGCCAGACACAGAAGGACACAGTGTGAGACTCCGTTTATAGGAAACATCCAGAACAGGCAGAGCCACAGAGACGGGACGTGGATTGGTGGCCTCAGAGCCTGAGTGAGGGAACAGAGAGCAGCGTGGCCACTCCCAGCCCCTCATCCCTCACCTGCCATAGCTCAGCAGTCCTCACCTGGGGGCCATCCTGCCCCCAGGGGACACATGGCGATGTCTGGGGACATCTGTGGTTGTCACACTGAGGGCAGGGAGCTCCTGGCATGGGCTGAGTGGGGGCAGGGACGCTGCTCAGCACCTGCAGTGCCCAGGACACCCCTCCCCAGAGAACGATCCGGGCGGGGCCCCGTCAATGGGGGACACTCAGGCTGCCATGCATGGGCTGCAGGGCTCGGAGCACGTGCTGACACTGGGCACGCGGCCCAGCACGTGGGGGTGGGCACTGAAGACCCAGGATGGGGCTTTCTAGAACGACCACTGCGGTTCCCTGTGCTGCTCTGGACCGAGGAGGGCCCGTGGCGGCCGAGGCCGAGGCTCCCCGAGGGCTGGCAGCCGAGCCCGCAGGTCGGCAGCGGACGGCGGCCCCGGCGCACCTGGAGTTCCGGATCAGCTCCACCTGCCGCGGCGTCAGGGCGAAGATGCACGGGCTCTCCTGGAGCTTCTCGTTACTCTGTGGGACTGAAGACACACGCGGGTCAGCGCCACGTGGGGTCCTGGGCAACCCCGCAGCCCACCACTCCCACGCGACTGCCCCTTCGGACCAGGAAACGGCAGGTAGGAAGCTGGCAGGGCAAACGCTTGGGACGGGTGGGCGCCGCTCAGCTCCCCCTGTCCGTGCCCCCGGTAGGGCCACTCACGGGGTGGGGCAGCCCCACAGCCCCCCGTGCCCGGTAGGCGGGACACGTGCCCGCCTCGCACAGCACAAACGGCCTGGCCCTTGCTCTCCGCGTGCCCTCAGGCCGCCGCTTCCCCTGGATGGTCCGCCTGGGGCACCCCCAGGCCACTCCGGAGACAAGGCAGTCAATCCCCAAGTACACCAACACTAGTCCCCAAGAGGCTGGCTCTGGGCGGGGTGTGACAGGAGCAACAGACGCCTGGGAGATGCCACGGCAGGGCCTCACTGGCCAACGCAAAGCGCCTACTGGTTGCAGGGGTCGGTGGAACATTCTGCGAAGGGATGCAGACCACTGTGGTTCCAAGCCCGGGCCCTGAGCTCCCAACCGTAACTGGACTGAGCAGCACGGGGCGGTTTGAAAACGCTTCGAACCAAACGGGAAAATATAACGTTTGCGGCATGCGGCCAAAGCAGTCGTCAGAAGGAAAGTGATAGCTTTCAATGCTTATGTTAAACAACACAAGGGTTTAAGATGAATGACCAGGCCAGGCACAGTGGCTCACGCCTATAATCCCAGCACCCTGGGAGGCCGAGGCAAGAGGATTGCTCGAGGCCAGATGTTCAAGACCAGCCTGAGCAAGAGTGAGACCCCATCTCTTTAAATAGAAAAATTAGCCAGGCGTAGTGGTGTCGTCCCAGCTACTCAGGAGGCTGAGGCAGGAGGATCACTTGAGCCCAGGAGTTTGAGGTTGCTGTGAGGTAGGCTGACGCCACGGCACTCTAGCCCGGGCAACAGAGTGAGACTCTGTCTCAGAAAAAAAAAGAGAGAAAAGAAACAAAACAAATCCAAAATACATTTAGGGAAAAAATCATATAAACTTTACATAAACTCTTTCAGCAAACAGGAAGGCAGGAACACTTTTTATCTCATTTTATGAGGCCCAAATAACCCTGATACCAAAACCCAACCAAGATGCATCAAGAAAGGGAATTCACAGTGAACACAACGTAAAAATCCTCAATGAAATGTTAGCAAGTATCTCAGGCCGCTGGGATTTGTTCCAGAAAGGCAAGACCGGTTTGGAACCTCTGACACAGCCACCGGGATGGCTAAACGAGCAGACTGACAACTCCAGGCGTTGGTGAGGACGTGGAGCGATGGCGGGTGGGGTTACCAAATGGCACGACCACTTGGGGAGGCTGCCGCGCGACGTCAGACACACAAAACGTAACGGGGTCACAGGCTGCGGGACTGAAACCTCTAGGCGGGCCACTGGCACGAGCTAGCAGAAGCGCAGACACGAGCCGAGCGCAGCAACCGTGTGTCTCAGGAACCGCAACCGCAGGCGGACTCGCACACGCAGGACGACACAGGCTGGGGTCACACGCCACACAGGACGGTCTCTACCGGCAAAGGGCTGTCAATGACCTGAACGTCTGTCAACGTGGTCTAGGTGAAAGAACATTCTGGGCCATCGCACAATGGAATACTATGCAACTGTGAAAATGGGGATAAAGGGTGAAAAGTTCCGGATGTTTCTGCCACACGAGAACCCGAAGTGCGGAGCAGCGTGAGCGTCACGCTAGCGCTCGTGCAGACACAGAGGGAGGGCTCTACAAACGTCTGTGGGGTGGGGACAAGAATCTGGCCACAGTGGCAGCCCCTGAGTAGCTGGGAGGGGAGACGGAACCACAAACCCTTTAGAACTAGGGGCGGCCAACGGCTCCTGCAAAGGGCTGAGCTCTGCAGGCGACACTGTCTCTGTCATGACCAGGCGACTGTGCCACAGAAGCAAATGCCACAACGCCATAACGGGTGTGGCCACACACCCGTGACACCCTGTTTATGACAGGCAGCAGCTGGGAGGGGGCCGAATCCGCCAACCTGCCTTGGAGCCTTCCCGACTGTGAGAACAGGTACCCCCGCGGCAAGCACGTCTGATTTTGACTTCAGTAGCTCAGGTTCAGAAGCCAGATGGCCTGGGCTCAGACCCCAGCCCCGGCCTGCGCCCGCGCGTCTTGTCTCTCGGGGACCCAGCGCGCACGGCCGATGCTCAGGAAGGGGTGCCGCGACGGCTACAGCCAAGCCTGCTTGTTTGCTGAGAGCCCAGCGGGTCCCTGGGCGCTGCCAGGCTGCGAGTCCTGGCCGGGGCCCTTGAGGAAGGCAGCCTCATTGGGGGGGTGGGGTGCGCACAGGCCACCTGCAGACACGCCCAGAGCTGCCCGGGGAGCCTGGGGAGCAATTACTGGGGGGGCAGGGGGCGGGAGGCCTCGCAGGAGCCGACACCTGAGCTGGGCCTCAGAGGCTGGGTAGGAGGTCGAAATACCAGCACCCCACCCCCACCCGCGGTGGCTTCTGGGAGGCAGGGGAGGAGCCTGGGTCCCCAGCAGGCGGCTCAGGAGCCACCCAGCTGGCCAGGGAACGGCTGCCATCCTGTGCCTGGGAAGACAGGGCTCTGAAAGTGAGGAAGGCCGTGACCCAGGCATGGCATGCCAAGGACTGGGGTCCTACCCCTGGGGTTGTGCTCTGCACCCCAACTCTCCTGTTGGGGTATCTCGGGGGCTGCCTGATACCCCCAGAAACATGGCCCTCCCTACACTGTCGGAAGGGGCTGTGGGGTCTCACCCGAACCTGTGTTTCTGCCATCGTGGTCAGCAGCAATTATGCCCCATCAGCTGTTCAGGGCCAGAAACTGGGCGTGTCCATGACTTAGTCGTCCCCTCTGTCCCCACAGATGTCCACTCCCTCAGCCAATCCCACCAGCTCTGCTGTCAAAACACCCAGCACCAGACACAGTGGCTCACACCTGTAATCCCAGCACTTTGGGAGGCTGAGGCAGGAGAATCACTTGAGACCAGGAGTTTGAGACCAGCCTGGGCAACATAGCGAGACCCCATCTCCACCAAAAATTTAAAAATCACTAGCCAGGTGAGGTGGCTCACGGCTGTAATCCTACCACTCTGGGAGGCTGAGGCGGGTGGATTGCTCAAGGTTAGGAGTTCGAGACCAGCCTGAACAAGAGCGAGACCCTGTTTCTAAAAAATAGAAAGAAATGATCTGAACTAAAA